CCGGGAACCGAACTCACGACCTTGCGTTTGCCAGGCAGGCGCTTTGCCACTGAGCTAAATCCCCAGCCCCTTGATTTTGTTTTCTTTTGGTCTTTTTGATGACAGATACTCTTAACTGGGTTAAGATGGTACCTTAGTGTGTGTGGGTGTAGGTGAGCGTTTGAAACAGAGTATTGCTGTGTGGTTCAGGCTGGTGTTAAATTCACTGTGTAGTCCAGGCTGGCCTCAAATTCATGGAAACTCATGTTTTGATTCTCATTTCCCTGATGATTAGTGATGCTGAGCATTTTCCATAAATCTTTTTTTTGGTACCAGGAGTCAAACTCAGGACCTTGAACTTGCCAGGCAGACATTGTGCCACTGAGCTATATCCCTGGCCTTTTCCATATATTCTTACTGTTTGGTCTACTTTTATTTTATTTATTTAATTTTTGGGGGGTTTTAGAAACACGGTATTGCTATGTAGCTTAGGCCGGCCTTGAACTTGTGGCAGTCTTCCTCCCTCAGCCTCCTAAGTGCTGGGATTACAGGCATGCACCACCACACATTGCCTTGTTTGGCCTACTTTTAAATAAGGTTAGTTGTTTTCTTATTGTTGAGTTCTAAGAATTCCTTCTAGGGCTAGGAGTATAGTTCATGGATCAAACATTTGCCTAACATATGGGAATTCTTGGGTTCTATCCCCAGCCCTAAAAATAGTCCTTTATCAGTTGTGTGTTTCTCGGATATTTTTTGCCAAACTGTGGCTTTTCATTCTTTTGACACATTTTTTTATGTACTACTAGATCAGTTGGTATAATAATGACCTAATTCTCTGTAGTCCTTACATCTTGAAAATGCTCTTTCACACTGTTATTTGATTCTCTTGACAAAAGAATGTGATAAACCCAAGTGTAGTGGTACATGCACTAAGAATGCTGAGGCAGGAGGATCACAAATTCAAGGATAGCCTGCGTTACACAGTGAGACCCTGCATCCAAAACAAATAAATAAACAACAACAACAAAAAAAAACCTACAAAGAGAATGGATAATAGGGAAGTCATTGCCCACAACTGAGAAAGGTACTTTCTCAGAGTCACAAAGCTACGATTAGCCAGATTCAAACCCAGATTTTAAGACACTAAAAGTCATTCACCTGTTTATATTACTATGTATTCATTCTCTCATTCAAGTAAACTTTAATCCAGGCCTGGTGGCGAAAGCATTCAGGAGGATGAGGCTGGAGTGTAGAGTTTGACGCCAGCCTGGGCTACATAGTGAGTTCAAGGCAAACCTGTACTGTAGATCAAGACCCAGTT